CTGACTCTATTTTACTTCACGGACTTATTAAAATTATTTAAAGGAGCTACCTTCATGTAGGAATACTTCTAGGTTGCTGAGGACTGACTACTTTGCGTCTCGGATCTCTGTGGTGGCTGGCTGTCAGTGATGATCGTTGATGAAGTTCTAGAGCGATGTCGATGCAGTCACTGATTTTAGTTTAAAATTAGGAAATAAAGAGAGGATATCTTGGATAAGTAATAAAACTGTAAATTGTATAAAGGTAATAAAAATATATTTTAAACGTTAATAATACAGAGATATTGAATATATATTTATTAATAGGAGAATAATGATTGAACAATAGTCAACTGGATTAAATATTATATATAATTCGTATAATGGAAATAATAATGGACAGTTATATGGAATATAATTGTATTATAATATTAACTTATAAATCGAACGAATACGCTAAGTATTATTGTAAGATAATTAATAACGAGTAACTCTACTGAGTATAGAAACTGGTATAAGGCTCTAGTATAGAGATTGACAAAGGATGTGACGCCTCGCTAGGAAGCGGAGTTAATAGGAGAAGCTACTGCTTCGGAATCTGGAGACTAACTGAGGTAACGATGGAGCGCTGCTCCATATGTAAGGTATGCATAGGGAGCACTGGAGCGGGGGTAGTGGGAGAGTTGGGGCTACTGTGCGAAGATCGGCACAAAGAAGAGAGGCCGATAACCGGAGTAGTGGGGTAGAGCTGAACGCTACGAAGATCAGCACAAAGAGGAGAGGCCGATAACTCTCGCTTAGGATGCGGTGAATATCTTAGGATGCACCGAGGAAACTTAGGATGCGGTGAACATCTTAGGATGAACCGGGAATGCTTAGGATGCTTAATACACATATATATATAATCGCGAGTACTTAGCCGCGAATAACGCAAGACTTTTATGCTAGACTTCTTATAATGATGCGCATAATGACTTAATTAATACAAAGAATATAATGCAATATAATAATCGTAATAAAGTTATGAAGATTAATTAACTCTATGTAAAAGAAAAATATATACCGGAGGGATATAACAATGTTTTTGAATTTTTGCCAGGTTGCCAATCATAAACTAACAAAAGGGGGTCACTTATAAATTTTCAGGAATTTTTTAAAAATTATGGTTAGGTTGGAACATCTCGCAAAAAATATTTTTAAATACCTTTTGATACGTTTTGTATGCCCAAATTTTTTTAATAAAATTGTATCTGATAGGTCTCGTGACAAAAATAAAATATGAAAATACTTCATAAGGCAATATCTCCGAAAAAGGGTGGTGTATGGAATTAAAAATTTCTCCAAATTTTTTTTTCGGGTCAACGAACTTTTTGGTGACATGCTGGTCATAATCCGTTTGGGGGCCGATTGACCCCTTCTTAACCTGTTAGAGCCTTTGTTAACGAAAATCATGTGTCTGAGGAAGTGGAAGTTTTACCTCTTAAAACATTTGGTGATTTGAGGAATGATTATGACAAGTTTGTTTCTCTTGGCAAAAATAAAAAGTTATCTATGGACTGCCACAGTACTATAAATGAGCCACTTTTCAAAGAAAAAGACGGTTTGTTGATTCTTGATAAATGTACAATTCCAGAACTTCATATATTACAAGGGTTTGTTAACCATTTGTTTTGGGATGGTCTAGTGCACCTTGTCGGTCGAGAGAAAGCTCTTTTGTGGCCTTTAAAACTAAAGTTGGTCTTAATGAATTATCACGGACAGGTATTTGAATGCAATGCATGCAGAAAATTGTTAAGAGAAGCTAACAAACTCTTTGATCGAGAAATTTATGTAGATGTCGGTCCATTTGCTATCACACTCTATGTCACTGCATTTAAAATAATGAATAAAATTGTTAATTCATGTTTTTTGATCAAGATACTAGATCCGATTGCAAATATAGGAAAGCTCATTAAAGAATTGCACAGCGCATTGTTAAGCACAAATACAACCGAAACCCTGAAAATTCATGTCCTGATGCAGCACTTGACACAATGCCTAGAACTATTGAATACCCAAAGTTTAGGCTTATGGTCGGAGCAAGCCGGAGAAGCGGCACATAGAGAGTTTCTAAGATTTTGGGAAAGACGAAAAATCAATCTTATTACTGACTCTTCATATCTGCAAAGACTGAAAGATGCCACCGTTGAGTTCTCATCTCTACACATTTAAAGTGCAGATACAAGTAGTGATGATTTCTGTGAATCTAAAAAGACTTATATTTATTTTTGTGTTAACAAGTCATAATGTATTTATGTTTATGTATTTTTCTTTACATATTATATCGAAATTATTATTATTTCTGTTTGTCAATATATATTATTATATTATTAACATGTATTTATTATTATTTTTTCTAATGTAGAAAATAATAAATCATTTTTATAAACGAAATTCATTCCTAATTTATGCTGTACTTATTGAAATATATATCAATTTTTAAATAATTTGAATAAAAATCTTATTTATAAGATATCTTGAAAAAAGGATCAGATCAGATATTGGGAGGGTGATTTTATAGCATCTAGAGTCATTACGAAGAGATCCCCGCAGTTTTTTTTTAGCTACATATCAGGCAAACTTTTTTTTCGTATATAAACACCGTGGGCAGCCTTCTTTGGTACCGAGGTAGCTCCGGGCATCGACCTTTGCATGGAGTTGTCGACTCACTTTTAAATTTTGTTGCTAGACTAATAAGTCTTAGCTACGGCATGCACTCGCCATGTAGTTTTACGTATCTTCTCTTACTTGAGAGATCGTAATCGGAGATTTAATTTTTCTCCGGCCCGTTGCCACTGCGCGACTTGCACGGGTCTTGTTTCGTCTCCTGTAGCGGCTAAGATCGTCGGGTCCTCTTGGATACCCTCCGATTTTTTTGGAAATGTCTCACCAGATTATCCCACCGCTGCCACCAATTTTGTTGTACCTCTCGGTGCAACAAGATATTATTTTGGGATTCGATCCGCTCAAAGGGTTGGAACCCACGAGGAAAGACGAGGATGGTAAAAGGTCGTCGAACAAACACTCACTTCACCACACTTCTATTTAAAATAACCCTTTTTATTTAACCTTTTGATAGTTGATTACAAATGTTGTACCCCTTTATTCATGTAATTATATATTACTAAAGATTAAATTCTTTTTAGTAATTGTAACTTTTATTTAATTAATACAGATGTTTAGTTAAATGAATATAATAAAATAATTAGTGAGAAGGCTCTATATGTATAAAACAATACAAAACTAAAAATGGCAAACAGCCAAATAAATCTATCGAAAAATATTAAATATATAAAATTTAATAAAACGCTTTAATAATTACAAAAAGACAGACGTTTCGACACCGATCGGGTCATTATCAATGTTACAATTAATAAAGTTAACATAAAAAATGAACGCATTCTTCTTCCATTAAAAATTGATCCTAATAGAAATTATATAAATTAATGAAATTAACAGCAATAAAGATTAATTAATAAAAACAAAAACTCTATTACCTTATCAAAAATACAAAAGAAGCAACAAGTCCATAATTAAAATTCATCGAAGTCAATTAATATAAAATATATTTGAAAACTGTAAGTCATTTTGCGGTATCTTATCACTATGATGTCAATAAAGGTAATATAGTTGAAAGTCACAAGCGAAGGAAAGAAGAAAACAACAAGGAAGGAACATTTAAGAAAAGGAAAGAGAATGTATCATATTGGTGTATATCTCGGGCTATGACTCGGTGTCATTTTGTTTATTTATGCCATGTGTCTGTTATTTAATGTGAACCATCTCAGATATTAATCCTTTTCTGTAAGAAGGTTCTATATCCAAAATCTCAATATCGTTCCAATTAAAATTATGATTCAATTTTAATCTGTGGTCAGTTACCACAGAAGGAGATTTTGAACCTTTGTTAATATCCGAGACATGTTCATGTAGTCTTGATATAATTGTGTCTTAGTTTGTCCTACAAAGCTAGATTCACAATTCTCACAGGATATTTTATATACAACATTTTGATTGTAGGTAATAGAGTTTTTGCTTTTATTAATTAATCTTTATTGCTGTTAATTTCATTAATTTATATAATTTCTATTAGGATCAATTTATACTTATTTCAATATATGTTTCATTCTATACCGATTTATATAAAGATTAATATTTAAGATAATTGTTTTTTAGTATTAATTTTTGGTTATAATTTTATTAATTCGTAAATAATTTTTATTAGGATCAATTTTTAATGGAAGAAGAATGCGTTCATTTTTTATGTTAACTTTATTAATTGTAACATTGATAATGACCCAATCGGTGTCGAAACGTCTGTCTTTTTGTAATTATTAAAGCGTTCTATTAAATTTTATAAATTTAATATTTTTCGATAGATCTAATTGGCTCTTTGCCCTTCTTAGTTTTGTATTGTTAAATGAATATATTTTAAAGTTATCGCTCGTGACTTACGAGTAAACCGGTCGGCGACGTTATCGCGGATGTTACTTGACTTGGTTCTCGCGACGCGCGTAACGTATCGTTACCTTTAGATTTCAAGACAAGACTATGCGCTCGGCATATAGGCGGTCGCTTATATTGAGTATGATGATGTCGCTTTTGGTCTTCGATCGGACCATATACGGAAATAATCATCGCGCTAGAGGCGCGATCGCGTGATTAAAGAATGTGCAATCTTGCACTTTCGCTGTTGGTTGCCATGCCGAGTGCATTTATGTATTTCGCGCGCTATGATCTTAGATCGACGCTTTGCCGTGCGCGGTTTAAAGAATGTGCAGACTTGCATTTCCGGTGCCGGTTGCTATGTCGATTGAAATGAAATAATTAATAAAATAAGTGATAGCCATTCGGGCTATAACAATGTGTCCAATGTGGAAAATGTGTACAATGTGGACAATGCGTCCAATGTGTCCAATGTGAACAATGAGTCCAATGTTTGCAACGTGTCCAATGTGGCCAATGTCTCCAACGTAGACAATATGGACAATGTGGACAATGTGTACAATGTGGACATTGAGGACAATGTGGACATTGAGGACAATGTGTCCAATGTAGACTATGTAGACAATGTGTACAATGTGGTCAATGTGTCCATTGTGTCCAATGTGTCCATTGCGTCCAATGTAGACAATGTGGACAGTGTGGACAATGTAGTCAATGTGTACAATGTGGACAATGTGGACAATGTGTCCAATGTAGACTATGTGGACAATGTGTCCAATGTAGACTATGTAGACAATGCGGACAATGTGTCCAATGTGGACAATGTGGTCAATGTGTCCATTGTGTCCATTGTGTCCAATGTGGCCAATGTATCCAATGTAGACAATGTGGACAATGTGTACAATGTGGACAATGTGGACAATGTGTCCCATGTAGACAATGTGGACAATGTGTCCAATGTAGACAATGTAGACTATGTAGACAATGTGGACAATGTGGACAATGTGTCCAATGTGTCCAATGTATCCAATGTAGACAATGTGGACAATGTGTATAATGTGGACAATGTGGACAATGTGTCCCATGTAGACAATGTAGACAATGTGGACAATGTGTCCATTGTGTCCAATGTGGACAATGTGGTCAATGTGTCCATTGTGTCCATAGTGTCCAATGTGGCCAATGTATTCAATGTAGCCAATGTGGACAATGTGTACAATGTGGATAATGTGGACAATGTAGACAATGTGTCCAATGTGTCCAATGTGTCCAATGTGGACAATGTGGACAATGTAGACAATGTGTACAATGTGGACAATGTGGACAATGTGTCCAATGTAGACAATGTAGACAATGTGGTCAATGTGTCCAATGTGGACAATGTAGACAATGTAGACAATGTGGACAGTGTGAGCAATATAGACAATGTATTCAATGTAGCCAATGTGGACAATGTGGACAATGTCGTCAATGTGTCCAATGTGTCCAATGTATCCAATGCAGACAATGTGGACAATGTGTATAATGTGGACAATGTGGACAATGTGTCCCATGTAGACAATATAGACAATGTGGACAATGCGTCCATTGTGTCCAATGTGGCCAATGTATTCAATGTAGCCAATGTGGACAATGTGTACAATGTGTCCATGTGGACAATGTGTCCAATGTAGACTATGTGGACAATGTGTCCAATGTATCCAATGTAGACAATGTGGACAATGTGTATAATGTGGACAATGTGGACAATGTGGTCAATGTGTCCATTGTGTCCAATGTGGCCAATGTATCCAATGTAGACAATGTGGACAATGTGTCCAATGTGTCCATTGCGTCCAATGTAGACAATGTGGACAGTGTGGACAATGTAGTCAATGTGTACAATGTGGACAATGTCGACAATGTGGACAATGTGAACAATGTGTCCCATGTAGACAATGTGGACAATGTGTCCAATGTAGACAATGTAGACTATGTAGACAATGTGTACAATGTGGTCAATGTGTCCATTGTATCCAATGTGTCCATTGCGTCCAATGTAGACAATGTGAACAATGTGTACAATGTGGACAATGTGTCCAATGTAGCCAATGTAGACAATGTGGACAATGTGGACAATGTAGACAATGTGTACAATGTGGACAATGTGGACAATGTGTCCAATGTATCCAATGTAGAAAATGTGGACAATGTGTATAATGTGGACAATGTGGACAATGTGTCCCATGTAGACAATGTAGACAATGTGGACAATGTGTCCATTGTGTCCAATGTAGACAATGTGTCCAATGTGTCCAATGTGTCCAATGTAGCCAATGTGTCCAATGTAGACAATGTGGACAATGTGGACAATGTGGACAATGTAGACAATGTGTACAATGTGGTCAATGTGTCCAATGTGGACAATGTAGACAATGTAGACAATGTGGACAGTGTGTGTAATGTAGACAATGCGGACAATGTGTCCAATGTGTTCAATTTGTCCAATGTAGCCAATGTGTCCAATGTAGACAATATGGACAATGTGAACAATGTGGACAATGTAGACAATGTGGACAGTGTAGACAATGTGGACAATGTGTCCAATGTGTCCATTGTGTCCAATGTGGCCAATGTCTCCAACGTAGACAATATAGACAAATTGGACAATGTGTACAATGTGTCCAATGTGGCCAATGTATCCAATGTAGACAATGTGGACAATGTGTATAATGTGGACAATGTGGACAATGTGTCCCATGTAGACAATGTAGACAATGTGGACAATGTGTCCATTGTGTCCAATGTGGACAATGTGGTCAATGTGTCCATTGTGTCCATAGTGTCCAATGTGGCCAATGTATTCAATGTAGCCAATGTGGACAATGTGTACAATGTGGATAATGTGGACAATGTAGACAATGTGTCCAATGTGTCCAATGTGTCCAATGTGGACAATGTGGACAATGTAGACAATGTGTACAATGTGGACAATGTGGACAATGTGTCCAATGTAGACAATGTAGACAATGTGGTCAATGTGTCCAATGTGGACAATGTAGACAATGTAGACAATGTGGACAGTGTGAGTAATGTAGACAATGTATTCAATCTAGCCAATGTGGACAATGTGACCAATGTGTCCAATGTGGCCAATGTATCCAATGTAGACAATGTGGACAATGTGTATAATGTGGACAATGTGGACAATGTGTCCCATGTAGACAATATAGACAATGTGGACAATGTGTCCAATGTAGCCAATGTGTCCAATGTAGATAATGTGGACAATGTGGACAATGTGGACAATGTGGACAATGTGGACAATGTGTCCCATGTAGACAATGTAGACAATGTAGACAATGTGGACAGTGTATGTAATGTGGACAATGTAGGCAATGTGGACAATGTGTCCAATGTAGACAATGTAGACAATGTGGACAGTGTGTGTAATGTAGACAATGTGGACAATGTGTCCAATGTGTCCAATGTGTCTTCATTGGACACATATTCCACATTGGACACATTGTCCACATTGGACACATTGTAAACATTGGACACATTGTCCACATTGGACACATTGAACACATTGTCCACATTGGACAAGTTGGACACATTGAACACAATGGACACGCTGTCCACATTGGACACAATGGACACGTTGTCCACGTTGTCCACATTGGTCACGTTGTCCACATTGGTCACATTGTCCACATTGAACACATTGTCTCCATTGGACACATTGTCCACATTGGACACATTGAACACATTGTCCACATTGTCCACATTGGACACATTGAACACATTGTCCACATTGACCACATTGGACACATTGGCCACATTGGACACATTGCCCACATTGGACACATTGTCCACATCGGACACATTGAACACATTGTCCACATTGACCACATTGGACACATTGGCCACATTGGACACATTGCCCACATTGGACACATTGTCCACATCGGACACATTGAACACATTGTCCACATTGACCACATTGGACACATTGGCCACATTGGACACATTGTCCACATTGTCCACATTGTCCACATCGTTCACATTGTCCACATAGGACACATTGTCCACATTGGCCGCATTGACACATAGTCTACATTGGACACATTGTCCACATTGGACACATTGTCCAGATTGGACACATTGTCCTCATTGGACACATTGTCCACATTGAACACATTGTCCACATTGGACACATTGGACACATTGCCTTCATTGGACACATTGTCCACATTGGACAAATTGTCCACATTGTCCACATTGTCCACGTTGTCCACATCGTCCACATTGTCAACATTGGACACATTGTCCACATTGGCCGCATTGGACACATTGTCTACATTGGACACATTGTCCACATTGGACACATTGAACACATTGTCCACATTGGACACGTTGGACACATTGGACACAATGGACACGTTGTCCACATTAGACACAATGGACACGTTGTCCACGTTGTCCACATTGGACACATTGTCCACATTGTCCACATTGGCCACATTGTCCACGTTGTCCACATCGTCCACATTGTCAACATTGGACACATTGTCCACATTGGCCGCATTGGACACATTGTCTACATTGGACACATTGTCCACATTGGACACATTGAACACATTGTCCGCATTGGACACGTTGGACACATTGTCCACATTGGACACAATGTCCACATTGGCCTCATTGGACACATTGTCTACATTGGACATATTGTCCACATTGGACACATTGTCTTCATTGGACACATTGGACACATTGAACACATTGTCCAC